TGGTGGAAACGTTTATAATAAATTTTTGCTTCATCATGCGCTAGAGGCATTTTTAAATCTGAATGAATAGTATGATTAGATACATAGGGAGGGGCATTTAATAATTTACGAAGCACTAGATTTTGGAAAGTTTGTATTTTGTTTAGATTGGACTTTTTTGCGTTACCCCATAATTGCAGTCCATATGTCCACATGGGCTTAAGTAAGGATTTATAAATAAGGAGTTTGGTACTAGTGTGAGTGTATCTGTTATCATAAATGAGATTTTTTAAAAGACGTAAACGTTGGTTTAAGTTTATCCTTTTTGATTTAATATGTCGGGCCCATGTCAGCCTTTTATCGAGAGTTAGGCCAAGATATTTAGTGTTCTGAGCATTTGGAATTTGGGTCCCGTAAATGAAAACAACATTGCTAGGGGTAAGTTTTAGGGTGAACGTCGTATGAATAGATTTCGCTTGATTAATTTTAAATTTCCAGTTGGTGTACCAATCTTTCATAAGAGGAAGGTGAGATTGGAGATTTTGAAGTGCTAATACAGGGTTAGAGTGAGTTGAGAGTATAGCTTTGTCATCCGCATAATCTGCAACCATTGTGTTAGGGGAGGTTGGTTGATCCGAGGTATATATATTATAAAGGAGGGGAAAGAGAATACCACCTTGAGGGACACCCGCTGAAATATTGGCTATAGAAGAATAGGCATTACCAACACAAACTTGAATATTACGCTCAGAGAGATATGATTTAATAACGAGAAAGTAGGTAGGATGAAGAAATTTTTTTAATTTGTAGAGAAGGCCGTCATGCTATACTCTATCGAACGCCTGAGAGATATCGAGAAATGCACTAGTGCAGAAAAGTTTTTTTTCTAAAGCGTAGGATATGGCATCGACTACTCTATGGACCTGCTATATAGTTGAGTGGGTAGTACGAAATCCAAATTGAGAATTGGGAATGATACTGTTTTCTGTTATACACGGGAGCAAACGTTTGAGTAAAAGTTTTTCCAGAGTTTTGGCAAAAAATGGAAGTAGGCTTATGGGTCGAAAAGAGGAAATAGAATCAGGTGGTTTATTAGGTTTAGGGACTAAGATAATTGTAGAGAATTTCCATAAAATTGGGAAACAGAGTAAACGTAAAACAGAGTTAAAAATATGGGAAAGATGGACAATTGCTTTTTTTAGGTAGGCATCTAGCTACTTCAGCTGTTGTTAGGTCGAAACCTGGAGATTTCCTAAGGGAGGATTGACTTATTGCGAATTTAATGTCATTTGGTGTGAAATATTTAACAGGACTATTCGTAGGAGGGAATGGAGAATTAAGATAATCATTCACAGTATTAGCAATGGTATGGGAGAAAATGTCAGGGTGAGGTTGGAAAATATCAGAAAGATGCGCTTTGAAAAGTTCAGCTTTGTCCGGGTCAGAAATTACATAACTGCTGTCTGGGTTTTTGATTGGAAGGTTAGCAGATTTATATTTACAGATTTTTTTAGTCTCTCTCCAGAGACTACCATCTTTAGTAGATAGATTTGAAAGAAAATTAGCAAGGGATTCGGATTTATATTTCGCCAAATTTTTTTAAGGTGGTTGGCTAGTTTATTATATTTTTGTTTATCGGACGGAAGACGCGTTCGTTGATACAAAGCTTCGTTTTTCTACAATGATACTGCGTATGTATTCTGTAATTAGGGGGTGATGAGTTGCACGTTGAAGACCAAGCCGCAGACTGTATAAGTTTTGTAAAGTTATTTACAGCAAGATCAATATCCGCAGGAGTTTTAAGTTTTACATTGAGACTGATTTGTTGGTCAACAAGATTTTGGAATTTAAACTTGTCAGTAGAGGAATTGAATAATTTAGGAGACTTTTGTTTAGTCAGTGGGGAAGCACTTACTATTAACATCACTGAGGAGTGATCGGAATTAGGTTCGAGGAGATTTTCTGTTTTACAGTATAGGTTATTTGGAATTTTAGCAACAAAAATGTCTAAGATATCAGGGTTTTTGTGTGTGGAGGTCAGCCAGTATGTAGGACCAGGTGGAGCAAGAACTTTGAAATATTTGGATGATATAAAATTTTGAAGAACTAACCCACGCGGATTATTTGTACGACAACCCCATGACAAGTGTTTAGCATTATAGTCACCTCCGACTATAAAATTGTGATTTAATGTGAGAAAGTAGTCAGTAAGGATTTGGTTTGTTATCTTGTGTTTCGGGGAGGGGGGGATTATAAGACCGCAATGGTGATTGGGACGTTATTTAAATTAATATTTATAGCATAGGATTGCAAATAGGATTGGCAGAAATTTGGAAGCGATTGGAAAATGATCGATAGTTTAATTAGAATGGCAACTCCACCATGCGCAGTGTTATCAGGATGATTGATTTTCAATAAATTGTAACCAGGGATATGGATTGAAGAATATTTGGTAAAATGGGTTTCTGTTATAAGAGCTATATCTATTCGTTTAACGTGAAGTACAGTTTCAAGTTCATTAATATGGTTTTTTTTTAAGCCATTAGCATTAAATTGGAGTATTAAAAGAGATTTATTTGTGACATTACTAGACATTTATATTTTATCAAGTAGTTTCGTGATTACTTTATTGAGTAGAGAGATGAGAGGGTTAATAAGTGATTTAAACTCCTCCAGAAAATTAGTAATTGTGTTACTTAGATCTTGAGTTGGAATAGGAAGTGTATTGTCTGATTGACCAGAAGTGGCTTGAGCATTTGTAGGAGAATGATTTGAGGGTTGGTTTGGATGAGCATTTGTTAAGGGGTGGGAGCCTCTTACATTTGTAGTTTTATTTCTAACATTATCAGATAAAAAATTACTTTTTGTAGTTTGTTTTCTGCCACGCTGTAAACTGTAAATCCTTTATAACTTGCTGGGTGATCCCCAGAACAAAGTGCGCATTTTAGTGGATCTAAGCGCGAGTTTGGACATGAAGAAGATTGATGATGATCACCACATCTGACACAACGTAAGTGATAGCCACAGTATGATTTTGTTTGTCCATACTCTTGGCAGTTAACTGATCACTTTAGGTTTATAAGACTCTTCAACTTTTATTTTGGTATGTAGAAGAGCGGATAGCTGGTAAATACCATTTGAATGAGCAGTTGGTTCTAAATCGACAAAGAACAGCGGAAGTGGACATTTGGTGGCCTTGTGGAGAACGTTTGTAACCTGTCTAACCTCAAAGAGACGAGCTTCAAGCTCAGATTTTATTAAATCAGTAGGTGTAGATTGATGGATATGACGAATGACAACACTTAAGGGTTTATCTTCCCGTAATTAAAAGGTGTGGTATTCAGCCTTGCTATCTTTTAGATAGCGAACAAGCACTCTATAAGATTCCGGGATTGAGGTTTGTATTTTTAGACGGTCGCCGGCGGATTTGCAAAAGAAATGATCGACACCAATTAGCTCTCTAAGAGCTGCGCAGAAGTTTGGAAAGTCTAAAACACCTTTCATGAATATCGGGGGAGGAGGTTTGATGTGGATATCGTTATTTGCATCTTCTGCTTCAGAGGTACCGTCAACATCAATGTCTGGTGAATCATTTTGATTTTGATTTGGATTTAAAGCTTCAAAGCGATTTCGTGTTGTAAAAAGTTTTTTGCTCGGTGGAGGGGGGGGGGGTTTCCGGATGAGAAACGTCAGAAGAAGAACTAGAAAGAATCCTTTTATTTTTTTGCGAGGAATTCTGCAAGATCCATTCGCCATCTGTAGGGTTGTTCATATTACGACTCTGAGAGCTGTATTCAGAATTAATTAAGGGACTTTTGTTAGAATTTGTAGGAATTGTTAAACGAGCAGGCTGTATAGTGCTGTTTTTAGTTTTACTTTTATCCGTATTAGTTAATTTGATTGTTTTTATTTTACACTATTTATATCTGGAGTAGACGTCATTACTTACGTGAGCAAGGTCACGGACCGCTGGACGACGGACGCGAAACCGCGATAACGCGGCGCGTTATCTGCGGTTCGCTCAACGACTGTTAGAAGTTTCACTAGACACTTATGTCGGTAAAATAAAAATTACATTTAGTAAACATTACGAGAACGGCATACTTACAGTTCAAATTAAGTTACTAATTTACATAGAGTTTATCGTTAGCAAATTTTTGATATAAATTTGAACCAAATCGGTTGCAAATAACGAGAATAACAACGAAATTATAACAGAGTAGAAATAAGACGTGTGTATCGAACGCAGTGCGAACCGGGAATGAATAATGAAATAATATTGGAAATTTTACCACAGTTGTTTTATGATTAATCCCCCATCGACACTCGCTCTCATGGTATTTACTATTTTCGCGGAATATTCTTAGGTTTCCATGGGTTTATAGTGTTTATATAATAGCAATGTTATACAAATATAATGATAAAATATAGCCCATATAATGACTATTAAAGTAATTTTTCATATTATTTTCGTCTAGAGGAAATTCATATTAAAATAGTAAATTTTAAATATACTAAAAACCTCATTTAATCCGTCACTAGTTGCGTGGGGTTAATAATCTCCCAGTATTTTAATAAATCTGTGTATCCACTTCATTATTTTCAAAACGGATTTGTAATTTGTAATTTTGATTTGTAATTCTGAGTAGTTCATCAAAATCACACCATTATTCGATAATGACATTTATTTCATTGAAAACTAGTTTAGCTCGTTGTACACATCCGTGTAAAGAAAAATTTATCTGTTTGGAGAATATTTACCTCGCGCGATTGTACGTTTATTTCAAATGACCAAATGTAGAAAAAAAATCACGCGACCAGCGACGGGTTAATAATTTGCATTATTCTTTGCACTAAAATTAACTTAATTTAGATACTTTTAAGTACAATTAACTTAAAGTTAACACGTTAATCTTAAAAAAAGTAACTTATTAAGTTAAAAGTTAATTTGTGAAAAAAGTAACGAGTTAATTAACTTAACGTTTTAACTTAATTTTAACTTTTAATTCGTTAATGCCCAGCCTTGTATATATTACAAGTTAATTTCATAAAATTAATGGAGTTTTTACAAAACAAACTCCGCATTAACATTTCCATTTATAGGACAGCCAGGTTTGATATGGTTGCAGTTCGCGTTTGGACCGTATTGTTTTGGTGTAGCTGAGCCAGGCTGAAACACAGCCGATGTGGGTTGTGGAACGAGCCGTATCCACTTGTTGTGCTTTTCTCTGTCAACCCCTTCTAAAACCAATTAATGCAAATCGAGACCCATCATTTATTTATTGAATTCTTAGTCACGTATTTTTTCAGGCTATCTGAATTGTTACGTACAGCGAACTCTATAGTTGACATAGGCGTGCGCAGATTTCAACTTCCGGTCGAGCCTGGATACGATTAGTGCCCCAATATTTAGACAGAGTCCCTAATTTTTTTCTAACACTTCAGCATAGTAGATTCTGTTGTAAATTAAAAACAATGTAGTATTTATATATTTGAAGTTAAAAGTAAAACTTTAAATTCTTTAAAATCAAATGATATAAATACAATTAATTGATTTCCACGAAAATATTAAAAAATATATAGACATTTTATTATGGTTAGTTTAAATTTTACAATACCCTCAAAAAAATTTCGATCGAGCCGTGTCTCGCTCGGCTTGCCTCGTGCGCACGCCTATGATAATAAAATACTGTTTGGAAGATGAAATATATTTATTAAAATAAAATAATCTTTATTTATTGGATTCAATTTTACATCATATATCACAAACTATAGAATACTGACTTATACTTCAGTTAAATTGAAATTAAATTACCGTATAAGGCAGAAGTTAAATGCTTTTGTATGATAAAGAATTAGAACAGAAAATAAAATAGAGAAAGAGTTTTTTTGTACAATTAATTATTTTGAAATAGAAAAATGGTCAAATGTGGACCAAATATTATATTTTTAGGTTAATAATTTAATTATATTTATGGAATTAACATTATTTATTATGTAAATGCGAGTAATGAATACGCTGTCTATATCAAAACGTACATAGTAATAAGGAATAAGAAATTATAATTACACAGTATGTGTGCGACCTCCGACTGAATAACACGGGTATATCTCTCGCGACCGTGCGCTTTTATAGCTTCCGATAGCACTCCGTAAATTACGCCGATGATCAGCGTGCAAGTAATGTGATCATATTATCATTATTATCTAATATAAAACATACGACGTAATGGGCGACAAAGATAAAACAGTCAAATCGCCTTTTTCAAAAACTTCAAATATAAATAAAAAAAATCACGATATCAAACATGTGTCTATCCATACCATATCAAGTAATTCTCAATGCATCAAAATCATTGAAGTAATCCCTGTGTCACAATTAAATTACATAAAAGCCGGAATCAACATCGAGGGTTATGAACTCATCTTGAGCTTTCGCCGTCAAATGTTTATAAATCAGAAAGATTTCATTAAATTACCAGGATCGTTAGTTATCAACTTTAATCATACCTCGTTTAGAATTTTTTTTACCGATGACAGAATTACATGTTTTTTATGCAAAGCTGTAGGATACACTTCTATGTCATGTAAAAAACAAACTCTATCAACCAGCACGTCGAATACTCAGATCCTGAACAACTCCTTAACTACACACAATCCAACAAAATCTAATGAAGATCCTACTACAGAACTTTTAGAAGATATCCTGCTTCTCGAACTCTCTCTAACAAATACAACTCCACCTCAAAATATCATGGATTGGAACGTTGAAAATCAAGAGATAATTCTATCTCATCCCACAGAAAACAATAAAACAACCTAAGAAACATTAGAAACACCAATCAACCATAGGTACACATTGTGTGTGAATTCAGGAGGTGCTGGAATAATTTATAGTACACAGGTCCGTGGGGGGCTTTGACCCCACATCTCCCTAATACTATAATCAACTGCGTTGCCATAGTTTTTAATTTTTATTAATGAATATTTAAAAGTAATTATATTAAAAGTTATAATAATATGTAATTATTAATAATATATTAAACAAGATTTAATTTCCTGTTTGATGATGCAAATTTTTCCAATATAATTTCCTCATTTATTTTATTGGTAAGATCTCTCTCAATGCTAAGCGTAGATAGCTTTGTAAATCTTTCTTGGCCTATACTAGTGCGGAACCAATATTTCAATTTACGCATAGCTGAAAAGGAGCGTTCATACGTTGAAGAAGAAATTGGAATTGTCATTACTTGAACTAGTTTATAAATATTTGGAAACGAACTTTTATTACATTGATTTTTCAAGTCTTCAAATTTAAAGTTGGCTAGTAAACTATTCCTTTAGACCGGCATTTCTGCTAATAAACTAGCTGTCGATATTTTCAAAATAACCTGATATATCAAAAATATGAATTAGTATATAAAATATAAATAGTAATGAATTATATCGTTTGTATGATTGGTAATAATATTTATCATCCCACATACAATTAAACGTAGCTCACTGGTTAAATATTACTAAAAACTAAGTAACAATCAAAGTTATAAATATAACATAATTTCGTAGTCAACCATAAACCGTAGATAATATAAAAATATTAAGTAGGATTATATGATTTTCTATAATATTATGATTGCTGTTTATAGTTTAATATTTAGACAAAAATCGAAACATTAAAACGTGCAATTATACTATACTGTTTTAATCGTGAATTCGTCAACTATATTGTATATTATTATCTATTTATAGTGGAAAAAAATGGCCAACCCAAATACCACAATAATTTACAAATTATTGATGAAATACTGAAATAAATATTCTAGGAAACTGGGGGTGCTAATTTTAAATCTGGGGGTGCTAAGCACCCCCGAACACCCCCCTATGTGCGCCTATGCAACCAACACATAATTCAAAAGACCTTTATCAGATATAAACACACCAAAATATCCTACCTCTTCCACAGCATTAGGCATTCATATGCCCGGTGTTGGTGAGTTGCGACCCAAACCCTAAATAACGTACGAGTTGCGGCCCATACAATAATCTATATACTACATATATAATATGTACAATACATAGTACATGTATATAAACATCACAATATAAATTTATTAATACTACGTATTTTCTAGTATTGTCGTGTATTATTAATATTTGTAATATATTAATAATATATATATTATTAATATATTTTTATATATTTATATTAATATTTATATTTCAATAATAGAAATTAGGAAAGGAGTGAGGCAGGGATGCACACTGTTTTCGTCCCTTTTTAACCTGTATGTACAAGAAGCGGTGAATAAAGTAAGAGAAGAAATTGAAGTAGGGGTAAGAATAAATGGTGAAAGAGTAGATATGCTAAGATTTGCAGATGACATAGCGATAATAGCAGACAATGAAGAGGATCTACAGAATATCTTAGAAATAATGAACTTAATAATGAAAAATGAATACAATATGAAAATAAACAAAACAAAAACGAAAGTCCTCGTTTGCAGCCGTAACGAAGGAACCCAAACTCAAATTGCACTAGATGGTGACACACTAGAGCAAGTAAATGAGTACAAATATTTGGGAAGTACGATAACTGAGGACGGCCGTAGTACCAGGGGGATCATAAGCAGAATAAACCATGCTAAATGTGCATTTCAGAGCAAGAAAAATATGTTTATATCTAGAAATATTGACATAAAAGTAAGGAAAAACTTACTTAAGGCTTATGTTTGGAGCGTGGCACTGTATGGAAGTGAGACATGGACCATAGGTAAAACAGAAGAAAAAAGACTTAGCGTTCGAGACATGGTGTTACAGAAGACTACTTAGAATAAGTTGGACAGAACACATTACAAATGAAGAAGTTTATCGAAGAGTCGGAGAAACAAGAAGCTTTCTGAAGACCTTAAAAACAAGAAGAGCTAAGTTAATTGGACACATACTGCGGCAAAACAGTTTACTTAGCAGGATAATAGAAGGTGCCATTGAAGGGAACAACAGCAGAGGGCGACCGCCACTGGACTACATTAGTCAAATATTAAGAGATATGGACTGCAGATCATATTGCGAATTGAAAAGGAAAGCGGAGAAGCGTCAAGAGTGGAGAATTGCTGCTAACCAGCCCTTGGGCTGTTAACAAAAAAAAAAAAATATTCGTAAATTAATAATACCATATAGTAATTTTCATCTTGCCATTTGAAATTATCCGATTATTGTAGTTAATGCAAGTCATATGGCAGATAATACAATAAAACGATCTATATTATCTGTATTATATTACATAAAGATATAACTTGCCATACGTATCGAACTATTCGTTTATCGTTATTCGTTTATCTCTAAATGTATAGCCAACACATATAGCCATCGTACATATAGTTACTAGCCAATAGGTACATAGGTAATGATAATTATTCGGGCTGCAACTCACCTATAGCTAAAATATTGTTGGACCGCAACTAACCTACGGCTAAAATATTATCGGGCCGGAATTCATCGGTCTTCGACACCGGAAACGTCACGCCGGGCCGTAACTCACCCACACCCCATATGCCTGCCAATCAACCTGACAAGAAAAAAATAAAAACCCAATCTAACTCAGTCTCCTTCATAGAGAACTGCAGAATTGACACCAGTAAAGGAAGACATAATATTGTTCGTAAAATTCAGGCAATATCCCCACATTTTTTTCTTTTATACATTTTTAATGATATCGAAAAAATCTTGTCTTTATATTCTTAAATGGGTATAAAGCTTTATATCTATAGACTATTAAGACGTATAAAAAAGCACTACAGTAATGCGTTTAAAATATTTTATTTAAGCAACGTTTATGAAATTGTAAAAATAATTAAGTTAAAAGTGAACATGACGTTACAATTTTTAATATATATCTAAAGAAGTTTAGAAGTAGTACCGTGTCATACCTATTACCTCTATAAAAATTCATTTCAGCGGATTGATTTTGGTACTGCAGCTATAATTTTTATAGATGTTTATTATTACAACGCTTTAGAATAAGTCAAATTAATTGATTATTAAATGCTTCGAAAAACATGGAATACTTGGCATTATATATCAATCATGCCACTACTCGTAAATATTATGCATATTGGTATCGAATAACAACCTAACCTTGTGGTAACTTCAAACATAATATTGTTATTGCATTAATTCGATTTTAGCCAGAAGCTAATTATTGTCTTGCAAATAATAATCGCATATTCCAGTAAATATTATAAATTATATTTTTAATGAATATTAAATATAGGTGTAATTAAAAAAAAAATAATATTGAAGAGTAAATTGTATTTACGGACGGGAGTCGCAGACTATCAACTTACTTTGCATCGATTTCTTCTTCTCGGTTTAGCAATTCCAGTATTGCACACAAATCCTTTTATTGTTCTTCGAAAATTCCTTGTCATAAAACAGTATAACAAAGGGTTGATTGCGGAGTTAGCGTGTCCCAACAGTAATGTAAAAGGATACCACTTCATTAAATACTCCTAAAAAGAAAATGTATTAATTTTCTATAATATTTCTATAGTTGTGTTTTATATGAATAATAAACAGTACAAATGATTCGTTCGTTATTATTTACTCATAGATTTTATTTGCTTGTACGTTTTATTGAAATTATACCTATTACAAGTCAGTCAATAAATAATGATATAAATAAATAAATAATAAATAAATAATTATCATTATATAGGGATTTAATTTAATTGAGCCATTCCACAGGAAATTATTGTTCTACTATTTCAATATTATTATGTAAAAATTGTCTCGATTGATTCATATTTTGTGTGCACCTGTCAAATATTTAATGGCCTACTTATTAGAATAAAAATACCTGATCTAGACCGAATTTGTCAAGTTTTACGTCTAAATCTAAAAACAGCGTCAGTAAGTTATAGGGTAGCCAACACAATGCGAATATCACTGCTAAAACGAAAAGTATTCTTGCCACTCTTCGTCTTTCGCGAACCATTCTGACCTAAAAAAAAAAAATTATTTTAAATTAAAAATGTATGATATATTTCTAAATCGTTTTATTAAGTGTGATCGTTATTGAATATAATTTTCATAGCTTCTGTATAGAAAATAGTAAGTTTCATATTATATACTCGTGTCCTTATACGTAATTGTGGTACAATTAAAAGGCTGTTATATACAGGTGATAAAATGATTATTTTTTCCTATTCTCTTAATTTTGTGTAATACTCAGAGAACAAGTTGAACATTAGAAAAAGAAGCTTTTGATCTTAATTTTAATAATTAATTTGAACAATTTTATCTCAAAAAGTTGTTCGGTCTGATATTCACTCATGAGTTATTAAAATTACAGTGGAACCTCGATAACTCGAATCAGTTGGGGACAAAAAAAAATTCTAGTTACCGAAAATATTTTTTTATATAAAACACAAAGAGTTCATTTTATAATTTTATTTATTTATATATTTACTAATAAATTTATAATGTATGTAGGTATGTATATTGTATTAAAATTTTTAAAAAAGTATAAAGTAATAAATATGTATATGTATAAATTGTATATTATAAAGAAAATATAATGATTAAAGTAGAAATATGTTTTATAGAAATCTGATATTTTTAATTGTTTTTTTATTTTTTGACCTACCTGTAAAGTTTTCAATAACGTTTAGTGCGGAAAAAATCTCATCTCTAATTTCTGGTTGTTTTTGAATGTACTTACGGACAACTTGTAAACTATCTAATGCCTGGGCAAGAGTATTTTTAGGTAATTTCTCATCTTCATCAATATCCGACTCCTGTGACAACATTATATTAAATATCGGCGTATACATTTCGTAGTTCAATCGACGTATAATTTTACCAATAATAAATTTAGTAGATAAACGTAATTTATTAATTTATTGTAGATATTAAATTGTATTATATCGTTAAATTTATAACTGTACCTTTTAAGCATTAGGTAAAGATTTGATTGATAATATTAATCAGTTTTCGAATACGATTACCGTTATTTAAAATAATACACTTGGTTATTTGACCATCAAGTGATCAATTTATGTACGTATTATGTATATATTATTTTATAAATTCGAGTTATAATCCAAAATTCGACTAAAAATACTTCGACTTAAAGAGAAATTCGAGTTAGCGAAAATTTATTACACATATTATATATCGTAAGGCCGGGGCCAAAGCTTCCTTTGAATTATCGAAAATTCGACTTATAGAGGTTCGAGTTATCGAGGTTCCACTGTAATTATTTTAATCTTTCTTTTGAAAAATTTATTGCACCTAGTTGAATATATTATTCATTATTAGTTTTATGATTGTATACGTATAAATCTTATGTGTATAATGAAATTATTGTACTACTTTCATAAACCCGAATCGTTATTAATTTATGAGTAATCAACTTAACACAGTAGTACGTTTAGAGACGAATATTAATACTATAACTACCTTAAACGACATTACGTATGACATACTCTGATTATAATTTATGTGTATATAATTAACCTGTTGAACGCTTATCATGCCCTGCTGGTCATCAAAGGGTGGACGTACTGCCCATAGTCGCCGTCCCATTAATGTATATGCTCCAGTCACTAAAAATCCCGGTGTAGCGTATACCAGAACAAAACAAAGAACACCTGGAATGTTGAATGTTTTTTAATAATGTGTTATAATTATATTATTACCTTTTTGTATATTATTCTACAGAAATGGGAAATACATAGCTAGTTCGTGTTTAGTGCACATCTAAACTCAAGTGAAACGATTAAATGAAATAAAACCAAGCCAGACACTATTCCACTCAAACTAGAGAACCAGCAAAAGTGATAAACCTTAAGAGGACGTCACATCTGCATATATTGTTTTCGTCTTATAAACGTACAACATATAAAATTTGGGCTCAATAGTTTAAATATTTTGTTGTTAGTTTTAATGTTAGAGTAAACTGATCTATTATCAAACACTATGAGAAGAACATTATTAGTTGTGAGATGATATAGGCTTCTTATGTAATTGAAATGTTTAGGTAAATTATGAATTAATTATGAAATTTTTAAAATTATCATATCGTAAAAACCTTAAATCATTGTACAGATAATATAATTTCTTTAAAGTTTTATAGTAGATTAGTTTAATCTAATATTAAAGCTAACAATAAAAGATTGGTTCTATTGAACGCAAATTTGTTATGTTGTACACTTGTAAGACGGAGACAACACATGCGTCCTCTTATTATAATATTATGTCACAAAATTTACAATTTTTTTAAAGCTTTTTACTCGCTTTGCAATTTAACGGTTAAAATGTATCCAAAACCTTATTCAGAACAGTTAGATATGAACAAGTGAATAACGGTGAATTTATATACCTTATATATATGTGTACTAAAATATACATAATTCTTAGATAATAAATATAGCAAAACGATAAAAATGATTTAGTTGTACCAGAGTTTGCGCTAATGTGAAATTGTGCATATAATGTGCAGTTCTTATTTAAATGTTGTGCAGTTCATAAAAGAAATAATATGATTTTAATTTTTAATAATTAATTCTATGTGTCTATGAGTTTGTAACATCGGTACCATTTGGCATTATTTTGTTTTCCAGAATTATTAGAAATTATGATTAAAACATTGATAATTAATATTTATCTATGAATATCATGAGATTAAAATTTCGGTATTAGTATTTTATTAAAGTCTCCATTACGTTCCGCCATGAATGTTTCAACTGAAAATATGTACTTATACATTAATTATAACATGCCTCCCTTGTATAATTGGGATTCTAATATGTCAAGTGTCAAATGGATGAACAGCAAAAAACATAGAGTAATTACAAGAACAAAGGCTAAGCAACAAAATTATTTCAATGGTGTATTTCCAGATGCTACAAACAAACATCACCAATTTTAATATTGTTTGGGCCTCAACGACTGTTAAAGGACCAGTCACGGTAGTGACATAAATGTTAGTGAATGAATATAATAAAAATAAATTTATAATCGAAAAATAATATAATTGAAAAGTAATTTAATAAAAATGAATAAATAATAATTTAATTGCCCATTTTAGCACAATAAATATATGATAATATAATTTTAGTTTACCTGGTCGGCACAACAAATATATAATAATTTAATAATAATAAGTATTTTATAATTATAAGAATAATTAGATAATTGTTGCCTTGTCAGCTTAACACAAAACGAAAATGTGATCGACGAATACTCACATAGCAGTTGGGACGTTCGACTGGTTTTACACCTACGCTGCCATACCGGGTTCCGTAAGTAATAGACTAAATACAATAAAAAATACAAGTTGAACCCGCGTACGTGCGATCGAAAATCACCGACTGCTCACGACGAAAATTCAATTCCCGTTTGCAACACACGAAGACGACAAAGACAGAAACCACGTTAATTACAATGGCCGCTGGTCAGTTGATCAAAAAAGCCAAACACAAAACACATCACAAAACGTGGTTTGCTGGATAAGATTATTGCAAGACGGGAACGAAAAACAAAGTTGTTATGCATAACACGACGACGAGACAACGAATGGGAAAAAGAAGAAAACGAAAAGGTGGACAAACGACTGTGCAGGCAGCGCGATATCACGACCGACATAATAAAAATACAAAAATAACACGATTTCAATAATTAACAAACGGCGAAAACGAAAACAAAGATACGGATGTACAGTACATGGTGCATAGCGCAACATTTACATAATATACATAAGATAATATTTTTATAATAATAATAAAACTCGTGAGGCCGTTAATGAGTTTTCACGACGATCTGAACTCGTATACGCGTAAACATTACCGCCCACCTTGAAGGAATACATCAAGACTGGGGTAATGGACAGAGTTTTACAAGAGGTCACGTTAGGTTTCCAGTTGCAGTTTTGACGGTTGCAACACGTGATATTCCGTCTGACCCAGGATGGAGTTCCATGATGCGTCCAAGGTGCCACTGTAACGGTTGGGTTGGCTCTTTTATTAGGACTAGATCACCCACGTTCAAGTTTGGACCATCATATTTCCATTTAGTTCGGTTTTTAAGGTAGACAAGTACTCGTTGTGCCATTTTGACCAAAAATGTCTATGGAAATTAGTAATTAATCGCCACCATTGTAATTTGGACAGTGGCATTATTGTTAAGTTGGGATCAGGAAGTGATGTTGATGGTTCGAAGTTGAGAAAATGACTTGGAGTCAACGCTTCATAATCGTTTGAGTCATTGGTTATGGCACCTTATGGCCGTAAGTTCAAGGTACCTTTGATTTGAGTAAGCAATGTGTTGAGCTCTTCACTGGTTAATTTATGGCAACCTATAGATCGCAAAATTAATGATATGGTTGATTTAACATCGGTCTCACATAAAACACCAAAATGTGGAGAGGTAAGAGGATTGAAGCACCACGTAATCTGCTGCGTTGCCATATGACGTTGGACATTTGACATTTTCTTGGAAACCATTAGATTGTGTGAACTCTTGTAATGAAGTCAAGATCCTTGAAGCTACAACAAAATCAGTGCCGCAGTCGCTATGCATTTCCATAATGGGACCATGACGTGCCGAAAATCGAGTGAATGCCAACAGGAATTTTTCTGTTGACAAGTCAGAACTTAATTCTAAATGCAAGGCTTTGGTCGCAGTGCATACGAATATATAAAGATATACGTTTGTAGAATATCCACGATGCTCACGGGGATCTTTTACGATTATTGGATCGGCATAATCCACTTCTGAGATTGAAAAGAGTTTTATTGAACGATATCAGATGAAGCAAGATTTTTACCAATAGAATTTTCCATTACTTGGATATCATCTTCGACAATTTTGCGAATTTCATGAATTTCTAACAATATTTTAGCAATTTTCACACGTTTACCTGTATTTGTACGATCTGTCTTATATTCTTCTGCAGCTGCAGTCAAAGAATTAAGCTTGGAGATGGAACAGACAATACGCACAATGGCATCGACATACGTAATTTATGGTGGAAAAATCATTGTGCAATAAGCGAATGAACTACATAACTGCAGAACACCAACGATCAAAGACGATTATAACAACTTTATATGATTTGGAGAAAAACAAAGAATATATTAAATCCAATATTGATTTATTGCAATTGTGGTCGCTGTTTGTTCGTTACATCCGGCTCGAAGGACCAAAAATGTTTGGGCCTCGTGAATGGTCCTTCGACAGTCGTTGAAGCCCAAACAAATATAGTGATATTGATGATGAAGAGGTTGTCACAAAAAAGAAAAATAAATCATTTTAAAATTAGATTAAAGGAATTTGTAATTTCAATTATTAAAATCTATATAAATTATGAAGTATAATATAATATTATTTCATATTGTGATGTTAGTATGTATTATTTATTATATGCGAGCAAAGCGAGCGTCAAATTTTTTTTCACTTCCGTCAAACAAACAGAATGTGCAGCTCTAATATTTCCTTAGCACAAGCTCTGAGTTGTATAGTCGTTATAAATACCATAAGCGTGTTTGGACAGTGTGTACTTTGAATGTGTATGTCCCCAGTCTTCTATGCACCACGCCAAACCATATCTATGTATTGCGTCGATCAATATCGGATCATCTCCCAATTCCACGGATTCTGTTTGACGGACCCATAGAATCGGACCAAATATCACCATCGACACTAGCCACAGTGCAAGAATGACCTGTTACAGACAATCATGATCAATTATTTACTTTATTATATGTATATATATATATATATATCTGTATATATAAAACAGTAAGCTGATTGACTGCTATCAACGCATAGCTCAAACCATTGGACGGATCTGGCTGAAATTTGGCATACAGATAGCTATTATGATGTAGACGTGTGCTAAGAAAGGATTTTTCGAAATTTTGAATTTAAAGGGTTGAAGTCGGTTTAATATTTTTTGACCTGGTCGATAATTGCGCTATTGAAAATGAATTATATTAAATAAAACTATTAAAAACTGTTTAAAAACTATTAATTTTATTTTTGGTTGTAAATGACGGGTATTGCATAAATATTAAACAAAAAGATCCCGCAACAGGTGCCAAAACAAATAAGAATGTTAGTTCAAAAAATTATTATGCACATCGGTTGATGATTAGACGCGATCAGGACTAAGTTATTTTACGATGCATAAGCTTTGTCAACAATTCATGGTCGAAATATATATAAAGATAGATAGCGAACGATTTCGATACTTCGATTTCGATTCAATCAAAAAAAGCTGCGTGCAAAAGATTCTCAAAACAATTGTTAGATATTGGAGATGGGAAAGTTACTACAGATGAAACGGGATGTATAAAATTACCGACCGATTCTGTACAATCATTGACTCGAAAGATGCTCTCATTGACCAGATATTTCCCATTGTATACTGACAACACACAAATCATGAGTGGCTGGCAGAAAGAGCAATTTTAGCAACAAAAAATGTGGACGTCTACGAATTGAATCTCAAGATAGAACATTTACTATCAGAAAACTTGGTGTCATACAAATAATCTAGATACAGTTTGCGATGCTACTGAAGTTGTAAATTATCCAACAAAGTTTTTAAACTCATTGGATTTACTAGGCATGCCACCGCATAATTTACAGTTGATCATTACAATTTACCATCGATAAAATACCTCCTTCAGGGTCATTTAAAGTTGTATACATGCAGATAAAAAACCACCAGAAGAACATAGAGGCAGGTATAATGCACCAACGGCAAATGAAGTTGCTTTAGTGTTAGTAGATCAGAAGTTTGATCGAAGAGACATCATCCTCGAAAACCGAAGTAACTCACTTCACCGTATCAGTGAGATACATCGAGCATATGACGCACTGCAGTATCCTTTAATGTTTTGTTGGGGGGATGATGGGTATGCAATCAATATACCACAACGCGATCCAAAAACCAAGTTACCGCTTAAAAAAATTGTCTCTGCATCAAGTTTTTACTCATATAGAATAATGGTCAGAGAAGGGTAAGACAACTATTTAGTTAATTATCGTTCTCTTTTCAGTCAATATTTGGTAGATGAATACGCCAAAATTGAAACTGAAAGACTAAATTACATCAAAAACAATCAAGCCAAATTACGTGCAGATAGTTATATTCATTTAAAAGATGCGATTGGACGACGAGACATAGAAGCTAATCAGTTAGGCCAAATGGTTATACTCCCGTCAACTTTTACTGGTGGGCCAAGGTACATGCACGAAAGAACACAAGATGCTATGACCTACGTTGGACATTACGGTCGTCCTGACCTTTTTATTACTTTTACATGTAATCCTTGCTGGGACGAGATAAAAGAGCTCTTACTTTCCGGTCAAAGATCATATGATCGACATGATATAATTGCAAGAGTGTTTCGGTTAAAAGTCAAAAATACCATGAATTTATTGACAAAAGGTAAAATATTCGGAGAAGTGAGATGCTATATGTATTCAACGGAATACCAAACTGTAGAGAGGTTCAGGTAGTTGTAAGCTATAACTTATCGAATAGGTTATGATAATAATCATTATCTTAAAAACTAAATTAATATGTATAAAATATTATTTCAAAAATCTTAATTAATTTAAATTTCAATAGATTTAAAAATATTTAATCTTGGCAGGTTACATATATTTATATACTTAAACCCGGCAACGACGGGTAATTCATTTTCAATAGCGCAGTTATCGACCTGGTCAAAAAATATTAAACCGATTTCAACCCTTTAAATTCAAAATTTCGAAAAATCCTTTCTTAGCGCACGTCCACATCATAATAGCTATCTGTATGCCAAATTTCAGCCAGATCCGTCCAATGGTTTGAGCTGTGCGTTGATAACAGTCAATCAGCTTACTGTTTTATATATACAGATTTGTAAAAATCGATATCAATCCCTTAATGCAACAGAGAGTAAATTTTTTTTTTTTTATCCCATATCTTTCGCCAACACAAACAAACTGGATGGTTCGAAAGCACGCCAAGTATAATTGTTCGTGTGAAAAACATGATGTACTCAAATCTTAGCCACAGACAGACATCGTTTGGCCTTGAGACTTATTGATAGTCATTGCAAATTAAAATCTAATTGGAAATTGAAGGCGTTTAAATTGTATTGGTACATCAATGGGTATAATAGGGATTCGCGATAATAATATATTTTCACCTCGGAATTTGCCATTTAAAAATGATGGCATCGATAACATTTTTCATTAATTTTTTAACGACAAATCGCGTGCCGTTGCACAACCGTGGTGGGTTCAAATTACGAAGCAAAATAACCGGAAATCTAACCTTCAGTTGCAAATTAAGTGGTGGCATAATATATATAAATATATAAAAATGATGTATTACTCCTTCAAAGCGGCTTAACTGATTTTAATTAAATTTTGTATATACATTTAGTAAGTCTGCGAATAGGTTTTTATCTATTTTTTATACTACTAAGTGCTATTGTTTAGTAAATCGTAGTTTAATTTAATAATTTTTGACCAGGTCGATAACTGCGCCTTTGAAAATTAATTATAAAATGATACTATTTAAAAGTTATTAATTTTATTTTTGGTATTGAATGATGGGTATTGTATAAATATTAAACAACAAAATCCCGCAACAGGTGCCAAAAAAAACAAGAATGTTAGTTCGAAGAATTATTATACATATCGGTTGATGATTAGATACGATCAGGACAACGTTATTCTACAATGTCATAAGCTTTGTCAAAAATTCATGGTCAACATGTATTTAAAGATAGAGAGTGAACAATTTTGATACTTGCGATTCAATCAAAAAAGTTGCGTGCAGAAGATTCTCAAAACAATTGTTAGATATTGGTGATGGTAAAGTTACTACAGATGAAACGGGTTGTATAAAATTACCGACCGATTCTGCACAATCATTGACTCAAAAGATGCTCTCATTGACCAGATATTTCCCAATGTATACAGACAACACACAAATAATGAGTGGTTGGCAGAAAGAGCAATTTAAGCAACAAAAAATGTGGACGTCTACGAATTGAATCTCGAGATAGAACATTTATTATCAGAAGACTTGATGTTATACAAATCTATTGATACAGTTTGCGATGTTACTGAAGCTGTAAATTATCCAACAGAGTTTTTAAACTTATTGGATTTACCAAGCATGCCACCGCATAATTTACAACTGAAGGTTGGATCTCCGGTTATTTTGCTTCGTAATTTGAACCCCCCATGGTTGTGTAACGGCACGCGATTAGTCATTAAAAAATGAATGAAAATTGTTATCGAAGCCATAATTTTAAATGGCAAATTCCGAGGTGAAAATATATTATTACCGTGAATCCCTATTATACCCACAGATATGCCAATACAATTTAAACGCTTTCAATTTCTAATTAGATTTTCATTTGCAATGACTATCAATAAGTCTCAAGGCCAAACGATGTCTGTCTGTGATTTAGATTTGAGCACATCATGTTTTTTACACGGACATTATACTTGGCATGCTTTCGAACCATCCAGTTTGTGTTGGCGAAAGATATGAGATAAAAAAAAATAATTTACACTCTGATGCATTAAGGGATTGATATCGTTTTTTACTAATATTGTCATAATTAGCAATAAATATATATCATTTTAAAAGATCAATTTTAATAAATTATTAAAAAAATTATATGTTTGATGTTTTTTTATTTTTATATTTCGTCACCGTTTACAGCACTCCATACCTCTTCCACATATATGCCACATCCTTACACACCTATATTAAATTAGTTATTTTTTTCTAACAAAATATTCTCTAGAAATAATTTATAAGATAAAACAATGTTTGTCGGGTCACCTAGTATATATATTACGGTAATAGTACGAATACCGATGAAACCTAGGATTTACCGGTAAAACCTAGGATATACATTATTGTTTGGTCAAACCCCGAATGATTTTAGGAGTTCGGACTTTTACGAGTGAGTTTTGGTAAATCTTAGGATCGACAATCAATGTTTGTAAAAGTCCGAATTTATATATTTTTTCCGATTCTGTGATAATTCTTACGTGTATTTATTCTTGTGCATTGGTGTTGATATCAATAGTTTTAATTTATATACCTAATTCAATTTTTGACTGAGATACGAATTATAATAAAAGTTGTAAGCAATTATTCAATGATTAAGATATGGAACATATTTAATAGAAGAATAATTTAATAAATTGATATCAGGGCCAATTACAGGAAGTAATTTTACGAGCAATATTCGTTTTACTATTGTCGTGATTAGTATAACACAACGAATAACAAAACAAAATGGTCAGAGTCTTTAAGATTCGTGCAAGCTATGAAGAACGGAGCTTTTCATTCTGGTACGTATTATTATGTACTATTGTATTGAAAGTAATACTAATTTAATTTCGTATTTATTTTTTTGTATAATATAATTAAAAATTATATTGTATAGTATAATACATATTACAATTAATAAATTGTAATAATTAATGTATAAATTATATAATTATATAAGTATATATTATGTAAGTATTTTTATATGAAACCATGTTTGGAACTAAAATGAAAATGGGATTAGAAAGTTCAATCATTCCAAAAAATATATTAACAAACCTTCAAACAGAAGAGGATTTAGAGGGAGTACTTACACACCCAAACTTAAAATCAATTGAAGTTGTCGAGATAGATGAAGAAATTAG